AGTGGTGTTCCGATTAATTGAAATAGTCGAAGATTGGTCGAAGTGACCAAACGACCAAGCAATCGATCACATTTTCTCATAATCGAACACAAACGATTTTGGACCTGCTGTTTTAGTGTTTGAAACACTTGACAATGGAACATATCTTCGAAGTTGTCAGGGCCTGAAAAATTGTTTAATTCTTAGAAAACTCACTTCACTAACTGAAAAGTCATGACTGAATATTTCTTGAAGACTCCAGAAAGTTTATGTTCATGATATATTACTCATCAATTTAAAGTAGCAAGTTGCATCATGTTATACATATCTACAATAACAACCTTGATAGGAAAATCTGAAAAAAACTTATTTCAATGATTGTTCGTTGGTAATGAAGCAATCATCAATTGTGAATTTCAACCAATTCCCAACACTAGTGGACACACCTGACGGTTTGAGCAAGCAGTGCTATAATCTCATTCATGGTCAGAAAGTCATCCAGAACAGCCTCTCGACGGAATCCCCATGATTGCTTGTCAATTGTCATCGCATTCTCCCACTTTCTTGGCTGAAGCACCCTTAAACATGTAAGAATGGTTACTGTAGTGTCACCCATGTGTTCATTCATGCAGCTATTACAACAGCTCTTGAACAATCCGTGATTAGACATTATTCTGGAAATATTTCACATGATGGTTAACTGTATCTGTTTATCAACTGGGTTTAGTTATCACAATCTACCTAAATATTTAATTTGAGACTGCATCATAACACCAATCTTCACTAGAGCAAAAAACAGCCTCAATTGTCCAACAAAGCACTGATTCCATTTGATGCAAATGCCAAATTAGAGGAAGAAGTCACTGAAAATCAGTGGGATTGGCTCGTCATGGCCTTCTGGTAACACCAGTCCCTCATACAGTTTGCATACAAAGAAAGCAATTTCATATTTAAAAGAAAGAAAGCAATTTCATATTTAAATTTAGCTTTTAATGTTGTTCCATGTAAAATCTTTGAAAGTTATTGACCTTATATTTGTGAAATAATTTAGTTATTTTACCTGGGTTGTACCTGTCTGCACATGTCAAGAACCCCCCATGATGACACAAGTCCCCCTTTCCCCATCTGTCATTGGTGACAACTGTGTCCTTCACTGGGCTGCAATGAGACTGATATGTACATTGTAAGTAATCACAGGGGCAAGTCACTGTTTGGTTCCAAGTCATTTGTCCGAAGGTATGAGGACTGAATGTAGCACTATTACTGCCAAAATACAGACTCTTACAGATGTGTATAAAATACAGACATCTAGATTGAGGCATAAGAGATTGATCTGGTTTCTGTAGGCAGTCCTAACTTGTTTAATTTGTCATGGCATATTATAAGGAACACTCCACAAGTAATTGGAATTTGAATAGTAAGTGCTGGTATTAACCTTATCAAAATGGGAGAACACACATTTGTTGAATATTATCAATGTGACGATTTGAACATTTAAAGTGTTAATAAATATGAAATACACAATGCCATTTAATAAATAGCTGTTTTAGCTCTGAATAGTTGGCTACTAAACCTGCAATGTCAGCAAAGTGAAAAGGGTGACAACATGTTTTCTGCAAAGCCTATGTATACCTGCCATTGTACCAATTACATGCTGAATGAACATACACTTGTTAAATACTATAATGTTAAATATCCGTGCCACTGTGGCTGTGTACCTGTCATTGTACAGCCAGGCCAGGAACTCCTTGGAACCCCAATAGGTGTCTGGATCAAACCAGTCTCCATCAGACCAAACAACATCTGGCTTATAGGTATTCACAAGCTCGTACAGCTCAGGAATGGTCTTTTCCTGAAATAGAATGGTTGTAACAAGTCAAGTTCTCTGTCAAGTCAACAATATGCATCATGGACTACTGGAATCGTCATATCCTCAAGCATCTTATGCAAAGAATACTACCTCTAATACATTAGGAGTAGTCCCTCCCTCTTTGCCAATATATCTGCTTCAGGTACAGGCAGTTATTGGAACAATGTAAATGCTCCCTGTAAATGTGCTGGGGCAGGGGCAGTTGGGATATAATGTGGTTACCATGACAACTGATTCAGAAGGTTGACACTGACAAGAATGTCTGTCGGAAATCTGAAGATTGTTTTGTGTGATTTCATCTAAATTGCAGGATAGATAAAGTATTTTCTCAGCTAATTATACACAATGGTAACTATAGATTTCTGATGTCCCCTGCTATTGTATTCATGGAATATTGTCCAAACTACTATTAAACATTACTCACTCATTCATACCATTGAGATCACATACACTAAAACATTACCCTACCAACCATCCATCAATGATGTATCTATTATACTAAAACTAACCACTGGAAACCTGGTGGTTGTGTGGTTGTTGGCAACATCTTGTAGATACAGAGGGTGGAACCACTCAAACATAGAGTGGTACAGGCCAAAATGGAGGTCTGTCTTGCTGCGGATGGCCTGGGCCAGCTCACCTGACAACAAATGTATATTTGTGTGTTGTTAAATGCTGCTCTCAGCATTATTCCTGCTAAATGTTCATCTGTATAAATAAAATCAGCCTGACAATCCAGTGATTAAAATGGTGAACAATTATCCATACTACATAGATAATCATTACACTGACACCACAAACCATATGTGTTGAGGGTTGACGGCATGTTAGATAATTTCACCGACCCCCTTAATCCACATGGAGGGTTACATTGACCAAGCCCTTGTTTGTATTCACTGTGATATACAGTAAAGCATAATGCATGTTCTTACCCACAATGTCTCTTTTTGGTCCTACCATCTGGGAGTTCCAGTTGAAAGAGACATTGGTTGGCCAGTTGCAGAAACCTTCATGATGCTTGCTTACAAATACTATATACCTGCAACAAACAATCATGGGGGGAATTGAGGCAATTGTTGGGCTAGTGCACTGGACAGAAGTCACAAACAATGTATATTAATATAATGTCATACACTTCATGTTGTTTAACCAATTCATATAGACATTGCTACGCACGCATCAGTTTGTTTTTATTTGTTTGTTATTTAACACTGCAGCTATAATAATCAAGTCTTGACAAGACAATCAAGTGAACAACAGCAATGAGTATTGATCTACACAACTGGGATATGTTGACAAAAGAAGCAGTTGCCTAAAACATTTCAATTCTTTATCCCAAACATTGATTTAGAGGAATTTACAATATAGTAGTAGTAGCAATCATCTCATACTTAGCTCCAGAGTCTGCAAATAGTTCCGCCCATGTGTTGGCATCATAGAATTCAGCTGTAAAATCTTGAGCAAAATCTGCATAGGTCCAGTCTGGTTTGTAGTTTTTCTTCATGAATTCTACAAATTTGGCTACTATCTTTCCTTTCCCCTCCCAGTGTTCCCAGAACCACTCGGAACCAAAACTTGGTACTGAGAACACTCCCCAGTGGATGAAGATTCCAAGTTTAGCTTCATCATACCATGGTGGAAGTGGGCGGGAATCTAGGGACTCCCATGTTGGGTCGTAGCGAACTTCTGGGGTTTCCTTGTAGTGTAAAGCACTTGTTTGGATAGTTAAGAGGGTGAGGAAAAGAGTACCTGCCGCAAGGGTAGCCATTTTAACAGTGGCTAAGTATATGACTGTTAAGATATATGACAGTGGTAGTTATCATTTCTTGATATGTTTGCACGATCTGGGTGAGGGTTGTGATGTTGATTATTTTTTTATTGCTGATATGGTGTAATGGTTGGCCTTGTGCTGAAGATAGAGATATCTACACTTGACACAATAAAGTAACATGCACCAAATTGTTGATGACTTCATCTTTTAGTTTCGAGTTCATTTTCAATTTGAGGTCATTTTCAGTTCTTGTTTTAGTTAAAGTATTTTGTTCTTTAGAAAATGGTTAATGGTTTTGAAATATGTATAGTTCTTGCCCATTAAAGAGTATAGTTAAGTCAAGTTGAGCATAAAGAAACCTCCATTGTTCAGTCATTCATTATTATGTGCAATATGGTTTAGTAGTAGTAAGGCATTTTTCTACATTTCATAATTTTCCAGTTACTGTATTTTACACATAGGTTTCTGATTACTCCAAAGATGCCTAACCATTCAATAATTCACATTTTATCCATTTTGGTTGTTTTGGGTTTCAGTGTTTTGATTTTTATGTAAACTCTTTCCTTCCATTGCAAAGTCACATTGGATTTTGTGAGCTACAGGACTTGTGGCTCCTCTTTGTTTCACCATTTTTATGAAAACTGATGGCAAATAATCCAAGCATGTTTTCATTTATGTACACAGTTACTTGAAGTGGTTCTAATCCATCTTGCAGATCAAGGTACAAAACTCTATACCCAAGTGTTGTTATGACATGATAATGAAATTGTTATCCATTAACTGTGTCTACTTTACCATTCTCAATGCAGGCAACACTATCAGAGAGATTTTATTATGACTGCATTGTGTTGAATAGGCTCATTTGCTCACACCTTTCTGAGGGGGTTTACTTCTGGTCCTGTCTAAATGGTGTATCAGTGCAATATGTGTAAAAGGACATGTGTCAATCCATAGCTTTCTAATGGAGTAAATGTCTCTACAAGGTGTCTTAGGGGGAGCACATCACAGTGCAACAGATGGTGGTGTCACTTGACACCTTGCTGAAATGGTTTACCTATCACGTGAAGGTATGTGACTCTGATCAAAATATTGCATGTCAAAATATTGTACATATCATGTGACTTGCATCATGCATATTTAACATGATACTGAATGGTGTCCAAGCATGACGTGCACACGACACCTACCCTTCGTCATGTCTGCAAAGTGTCACACCTGGGATCAGAATGTCACCGATGCATGTCAAATCGAATTTTCATCATGAAGTTTGCGTTATGCTTATTCAGCATAATATGTCACACCTACTCAAAATCCTTGAGTGATCACCATATCCATTCAAGGGAGATAATCTCAAAGAAATAAGCACAGACGTAGTGGTCATAATGTCTATATTTGCTGTCAAGGCAGCATTCTTTTATTATGAGAACAGTTTTCATTTATAATACAAAAATGTAAGTAAATTACCAAACATGTTCATTTGGACCATCCCATAATGAACCATACCATGTTGGAGATTCATCTCATTAACTTTTAGACATTGATGTAACAGCCATCCCATTGGAAACCAATTGTGTTATTGTAAAGGTCAGCTTGGTAAATTGGTAACCACTTTTGTCCTTATGAAGTTCCATCCTATAATTAACAAATTATTTTAGTGTGGAGGCCCATCCTTCTGTCAGCCACACATGTTTATCTCAGTGTCAACACCCATGCCCACTGACATGGCATCTGGTTGACAGGGATGGGAGGGATTGTGATGCTGATTCCTTTTGGAGAAGCATTCTGCCAGGAGAAGGAGCCTTCAGTGTAGCCAAGGAGGCTGACTTTCATTCCAGTTTTTGGCAAAGCTGATCCAAGGATGAGTTGACCTGGTTGTGGCCATTTGAGCACAATGGCGTACACCGTCCCTTCTCTCTGTGTGTACCTGTAGGGAGACCATACCATAATAGTGTAAAACAACAATTATTCCATGGGATATCTCACCCTGAGACCAAGGTCGTGACTTTAGCATGTACACCAAGGTGGTGACTTTTATAACAAGTACACAAAGCAAAGTCTTTCTTGTAATCAACAAGTCCAAATCAAACATAATCACTATGATAATAAAACTGAAATAGGATACAGCCTGGAGAGATTTAGACAATAACAGCATTTCCAAACAATAGTTATCTGATTTCTTATCATGTAATTATTGATTTGTAACTACCGGGGTACGTATTTTTCAAAGGTGGTGCTCAGAGCTATGTGGTTTAGAACAACCATTTACTAAGGGCACAAATAATGGCGACAGTTATAACTGGAATGTGATGGAATATAGTATAGAATAAAGCATAAATCACCAACTGTGATTGGGTCATTCTGTGCCACCCAAGGTGTGGAATATATAAATTACTTACCAAACTCCTGGTGTGACTGTGTCATTTTGGGCCACCCAAGGTTTGGAGGCGTAGATAGCCTCTCCATTCACCTTCAGCCATTCTCCCATCTGACGCAGTCTCTCCTCATAGATGGCACTGATCATGCCATATTTGGTTGGCCCCACATTAATCAAGAAGTTCCCTCCACAGCTGAAAATTAAAATAATAGGTATAAAACACTATGAATTTTGCTGTAGTTGTTGTGATGATGGATTTTCTACTTTCTTCCCTTTCATTGTGATATATATACAGTGAGACCTCGGATATCCGGACACATTCGTTTTTACGTAAATCGTCCGGATAATTGAATATCCGGATATCTGAATTTTGGGTTTTCATACACCTAAAGGAAAATCCAAAATGTTAATGATCATCAAGCGTTTATTGTACATGTATAGACAATCAAAAAACAGCATCACAACATAACAATCATACCTTTACAATTACTTTTCCTTGGCTGTCACTGCCTAGCGCTTGCGTTTAGTAGGTTGACTAGCCATTTGTGATCATTTGAAAGACCAACTCACTTGAATATCGACACACTGCACTTTTATTGCTTTGACTGAATAAACAACTTAACAGTTAGAACTCAATGGTTAACTCAGTGTCAGCTAGGCCTTCTAATCACCACCAATACCTTGATGATCATTAATCCGGATTAGCCGACCATGTCTCGTGTCAAAACACGTGGGACTCTCGCACTTCCCTTCACACGGTTAGCGGTAGATCAAAGCTTCGTGCGGATAGGTGAGTCAATTTTGTGTTGATTTAGCCGGTTTGTTTGTAAAATGTACCGTCCGGAAACGGAAACCGAATATCCGTTATAGACAGTCACTTTTATAATGTAAGAGATTGTTTTTTTTTCTAAAAATTGACCGGAAGGCGAGGTTTCTGGATATCTGGGGTCCGGGTATCCGAGGTCTCACTGTACACAGATACATGGCTGAAAAAAAATCACTGTTGTGTGTGTGTGCTATAAAATGTAACTTGGACAATTAAAACTAAACTAAGTTTGATGTGTGAAGCTTTCAGTTGTTTCACAGTGAAAGCATGATCCCTGTCTATTCCATATTTTGTCATCATTTTGTGGTTGTGTCGATCGTCAGATAACTGGAAGCAGTTACCCCAGTCCCTCCACATTCATCACAACAGTGTTGGACTGTTTTTTACAAATGCTGAAAAGTCTTAACTAAACTGAAGATATAGTTTACACTTGCTGATGTGGAAATGTTGATTTTAAATGCTCAGAGCTATATACAGCACCTGATTGAAGCTTGCTTCATCCCTACATGGTCTGTGCAATGTTCTCGTGTTTGGGTTATGTCAACTTAATTTTTCCAACCCTTACATTCTCAACAGACAGATACTACATTCTTAGGATACTCACATTACATTCTCTGCAGAACCATCTTATGTTTTCAGCTGGCATACCTTACATTCTTCATACATCCTTTATATTTTTAGCAGACACATCTTTCATTCTAACCACACACTTAAGTGAAGACACCTTACAATTTGAGTGTACGCACCTGACAGTTTCAACCAGCAGTGGTATAATATCGTCCATGGTCAGATAATCATGCAGGACAGCCTCGCGACGGAATCCCCACGAATTTCTGTCAATTGTCATCCCATTCTCCCACTTCCTTGGCTGAAGTACTCCTTTAGCACATGAGAAGAATCAGTTTAAGTTTCATTTGAAAGTTAATGGACGGACATTATTCTATATGAAATTTGATTTGATAATGTTTGAACTTCAGAATTTACTGAATCTATTTATTCATCAGCTAAGCATAATCTACAAACAGTGATACATTTGAGATTAAAATATTACATCAATGCAAGGGAATAACCAGTCTCAATTATCTGATGACAGAGATGGCTTTTGGTGGAAGACTGACTGACTGAGTTTAGTTTTACGCCGCTTTTAGCAATATTCCAGCAATATCACGGCGGGGGACACCAGAAATGGACTTAACACATTGTGCCCATGTGGGGAATCGAACCCGGGTCTTCGGCGTGACGAGCCAACGCTTTAACCACTAGGCTACCCCAACGCCCCTTTGGTGGAAGAAGCAACACAAAGGAATGGAACACTGGGTGAGACTGTTCTGCTGTATTGGTAGCACCCAACACTTACACCCAAACAGTTTGCTCTAAAATGTAAGCTGTATCTTTTTTCACATTTCAATTTACATCATTTTTTATGTTTAACAGAAGGTAAAGATTCGTAGACACCCATCCTGCTTGTATACTTTCTTCATGTAGGAAGGTTGGAGGGTAGCCAAGTGGATAAAGCATTTACTCATCACACAGAAAGGTCTGTGTTTGGTTCCCCACATGCCTACAGCCCATTTCTAGTGTTCCAACCATGTCCTTGCTGAATCATCTCACACACTCCATCAACCACCCCCACACACACATTCATTCCTTTGATGAAATATTTTGGTTTATTACCTGGATTGTACCTGTCTTGGCATGTCAAGACCCCACCGTGACGACACATGTCCCCCTTTCCCCATCTGTCATTGGTGACAATCTTATCCTTCACTGGGCTGCAAAGAGGAAAAGTTGAGAAGATTGATGTGTACACCATTATACAAAATAACCACTTCATATCGCTAGGTAATGATTTCTTGATTCCGAGTCAACTATTCCTTGGTACTGGCCAGAGTATATGACTATCATTGCCATATACAAGAACTGCCAAAGGTATGTGCAAAGGTCGTAAAAGTTGAGTGAGGCAAAAGAAATTGATTTGGTTTCTGTAAGTCATTCTTTATAATTTCATTTTCAAACCCAGCTCCAAAAATGTTTGAGAAAAGTGATATAGATACTGTTCAGGGTGAGCAATGGGTATATAAAATACTGCTCTCATGATAAAGAACATACATTTGCTGAATATTATCCATGGAATGATGTAAAAACTTCATTGTTTTGCAGAGGTTATTATTGCACTGAATGATGAGCTACCAAACTCACCAATGTTAGCTTTCACTATATTTACACAATATCACCATGTAAATGGGTACATAGTATCCCAGCACACAGGCTGTGTACCTGTCATTGTACAGCCAGGCCAGGAACTCCTTGGAACCCCAATAGGTGTCCGGGGCCTCCCAGTCTCCATCAGAGTCAATAATGTCTGGCTTGTAGGTGTTTATAAGCTCGTACAACTCCGGCATGGTCTTTTCCTGAAATTGATTTGATTTAAATGGAATGAGATGCTGTATATTCATGGTACACCCTGTGATAAAAAAGGGTTTAATGCTCCAGACCAGTTCTATATGAGCTCTACATGACAGATATGATTAATTCCAATTATGAACCAGTTAAAAAATGACTGAGTTTGGTTTTACGCCGCTTTTAGCAATATTAGTATTGGTGGACTACATGCTGTTATATGATGGGAGTTGGATCAGGGCAGCTAATCAACCCTGTCACTGTGTGTCGTCATGTCCATAGATGTTCTCTTCTTATTCTTAGAAGATAATTTACATGAGTTAGTAATCATGATCGTGATTGGTGACCGACTGACGTTTGGTTTCACGCCGCTTTTAGCAATATTCCAGCAACATTACGGCTGGGGACCCCAGAAATGAGCTTCACACATTGTACCCATGTGGGGATTCGAACCCGGGTCTTTGGCGTGACGAGCCAACGCTTTAACCATTAGGCCAGTTAAAAAATGAAGTGACTGTAAGATGTGTAGATTTTATCTGTTTCTTGGATGTTCAACCAGTCAGTGGCTTTTATCAGTATCATCTGTTGGTGCAGGAAGTCTAGTAGTTTGGTTTTTGTGACGACAATCTTGACCTTTCATTATGGTTCATTGGAACACCTTACCTAAATTTCATCATTGCCAATATTTTTGCAATTTGGCTGTCATTGCACTAAAATAGTCTTTGGATTTATCAGAACCAGAAGTTGTGTAATCAGACCATGGAAGTGACATCATGGAAATACTAATATGAAGATCCGAAGGGATTGTTCATGTGCCATCCGTCTTTATGTTTCCCTTTGCACATCGCTGTCATCACTCAAAGATTACTATATGCTGGATCCAACTCTGAATTCAGCCAATGATGTAATAGAGGTGAAGGTATTCAAAGGAATGAATAAACTGTAGTTATCATTATGTATAATTCTGAGAATACTACCACTGTTGCATCAGGAGGAGTCCTTCCCAAGTTCCGCCACCATATATCTGGAATATTGCTGAGTGAGGCTTTAAACAACAAACCAACCAACCAATCCTACAGATGGCTGAAAGTGAAGAGATTGTTTTCCAGGGGGATGATAGCCACATTGCAAGAATATTGGCAATAAAATGAAGGTAGTGTTCTTAGAATGATTTGATTTCTGGTGTCCTGCTCTGATACTATTGGCAAAGTGCAAAAATGTGATAAAAAGACATACTCCTTCACTCACATCATTTAACTCACCTATCCTAAAACGCATTGTCCACTCTGACAATTCATCAATTATATATATATCGAAGCTGACCTTAACAAATCTGGTGGTTGTGAAGTTGTTGGCCTTGTCCTGTAGATACAGAGGGTGGAACCACTCAAACAGGGAGTGATACAGGCCAAAGTGGAGGTCTGTCTTGCTGCGGATGGCCTGGGCCAGCTCACCTGAACACAAATGTATTCATCAGTGAATATTCCTGCAGTATTCCTGCTAAATACGAAACTTCTGTAAATAATTAAATCTGGGCCCGACAATCCACTGATTGATATTATGAGCAATTATTCATGCTATTTGGTCACTGAGTCTGACGGGGCAGTGGGGTAGCCTAGTGGTTAAAGTGCTCGCTCGTCCCCCGCCGTGATATTGCTGGAATATTGCTAAAAGCGGCGTAAAACCCAACTCACTCACTCACTCACTGAGTCTGGCCATGTGATGTATTATGTTGCCTCTTATGACAGGCCAAGGCTGCCAAGGACCTAATCTAAGCTACAATCCTGAGACAGATCATTACACTGACCAAGCACATACCTGTATCCACTGGAATATATAGCATACAGATTCTTACCCACAATGTCTCTTTTTGGTCCAACCATCTGGGAGTCCCAGTTGAAGGAGACATTGGTTGGCCAGTTGCAGAAACCTTCATGATGCTTGCTTACAAACACAACATACCTGCAAAAGACAATCATGGTATTAAATTTGAGAATGGTCTGGCTGGTGCACTGAACACATATGCAAAAATCAAAGAGTGTAACAACACAGACATTATGTCCTTTTTTACCAATTACATGTATTATAGACATTGCTAAACAAATTAAGAAGTAGTTGTGCAGTCTTGATTCTTAATGTTTGATTACCAGGAACAGCCTGAATAGTAATAGTAGCAATCATCTCATACTTAGCTCCAGAGTCTACAAATAGTTCCGCCCATGTGTTGGCATCATAGAATTCAGCTGTAAAATCTTGAGCAAAGTCTGCATAGGTCCAGTCTGGTTTGTAGTTCTTCTTCATGAAGTCTGTAAAAGTCGCATGCTTGTACCCCTCCCAGTATTCCCAGAACCACTCAGAACCAAAACTTGGTACTGAGAATACTCCCCAGTGAATAAAGACTCCAACTTTAGCTTCATCGAACCATGATGGAATTGGGCGGGAATCTAGGGACTCCCATGTGGGTTCATAGCGAACTTCTGGAGTTGCTTCATAGTGTAAAGAATTTGCGTTGATAGCAACAATGATTGTCAGAAAAATAAGCAAACGAGCTGAAGTGGTAGCCATTTCAACTGCTGTGATATGTATCTAAGGTTTATGACCTTGATAGTTATCATTTCTAGGTATGTTTGTGTATCTGGGTGAAGGTCATGATTGATAGAGATATCAGCATTCGGACCATGACCCACAATTATATGTGCTGACAACTATTAGTTGTAAAAACTGAGTGTGACCTTCTCTCCCAAAGTATTTGGAATAATGATAACATAAAAGTTGAAAATAAGACTATTTCTTACAGAAGCTGGGAAAAACAAGGTATAATATTCGTAAACGATTTATTGAATGAAAACGTCAGATTTTATTCTAAGGAAGAATTTTGTGCCTTATACCCCCTAGATACAGACTTTCTTAAATATGAGGGTGTTAAACTAGCCGTTGTATGCTATGCAAATTAATTAGGTATTACTTTATCCGGATGTAAATTATGTAATCCTGTGTATCCGTTTATAATGAAATGTACAAACAATCGCCTTGGACATAAGAAAGTATACGATATGCTCGCTGATTCACGGTTTGTTAAACTCCCTTGTTATGATAAGTGGGAACACGCCACTGGTTCACACTACTCGGACTTTGACTGGAAATGTTTCAACTCGATCGCAAATAAATGTACTCCAAGTACCGAATTAAGATGGCTGCAGTACAGAACCATTCACAGAACCATTCACAGAATATTGCCAGTCAGACATTTCCTCTACAAAATCAACTATGTGGATAGCCCTAAATGTACCTTCTGCAATGATTATGACGAAACAATTTATCATATCTTCTGGGAGTGTGACAAGGTGAAAAACATATGGCGTGAAATAAAATTATGGCTCAGAACTGTAGACGTATAATTGAGTTTTACAAATACCAAGGTAATGTTTGTGATTAAAGGAAAACATAACTATGCACTAAATGCGATTATTATTTTAGTCAAGTATACCATATACAACTGAAGTAAGAAAAGTTTCATTCCAAATATTTCATACATCAAGAGACAAATCATACAATATTATAATACCACAAAATATGTATACATTAATCGTGACCAGAAAGCCTACTTTCTAAAACTATGGTCCAGCCAACACATGCTATTAGAACCGTTGAATAGGTAAATTATTTCGATGTATATGTAACAATATTGACACTGTATAATTATACTGAAGTATTATTGATTATTTATTGAGACCCTACATGTTTGCATTGAACTAATACTTTTACAAAATATATGTATACCTGAAAAAAACCCAACAAAAACAACATATTAGTTTTGAATTTCCGTTATTGATTTATGTAAAAGGTTAATACTTTGAAATTTATAAATTTTTTGCAAGTTAAAGAGAGTACTCAGGAAGTCATTCAATGTTATGTGCACATTTGTTTAATGAAGCATCAAGGCCTCAGTAAAGCTTTCAAAATGTTTTATGGCAGTTGGAGAATATTTTGAAATTGAATGCATCAGTGACAAAAATTATGTCAGATGCAATTATCTTTTTGTATCATATGTTCCCAATTATTTCAGGTAAATAATTGACTAGACTTTGCATATGTTTATGATGGGTACCACTGGTGGGGCATAGTGATTCATAAACACATGCTCTGTCATTGTATCGTATGGTGACAATCACAGGATTATCTGGTTCAGACTCCATTTGGTTACAAACAAAATCGTTGAGCTGTAATACTGCTGAAACAAATATATGCTCATGCTCACTAAATTGTACAATTGACTCTTGAATGTGGAACGGGTTTTGTCACTTCTATTCTATACTTCAAATTCATCTTGTCACCTTATTCAAAACACAGGTTGAATAATGAAGTCAGCATGTTTTTTCTTCGGATGTTTTACATTTACTCATTTACCCTTTCCTCACTATGCCCAGGGAGCGGTTGGATAGCCTAATGGTTAAAGCGTTGGCTCGTCACGCCGAAGACCCGGGTTCAAATTCCCACATGGGCACAATGTGTGAAGCCCATTTCTGGTGTCCCCCGCCATGATGTTGCTGGAATATTGCTAAAAGCAGCGTAAAACCAAACTCAGTGAGTCAATCAGTCACTATGCCCAGTCACAGAATTTATACCTAGGAAGCGTTTAAGTCATTTTCTTTTTTCACCTTTTTCATGAAATGCTGACAACTCATAAACAGAGTTTATTTTCATCCTTACCTGCAGAGGTTCTTTTGCTTGACAAACTCTATTTTTAAAAAATTGTGTCCACTTTGTCAATCTCATTGCTGACAAGCAAAGCCTAACTTGTAGGTTTTTATCCAATGTCTCCAATTTGATGATCTGCCCGCAAGATGTGCAAGGGTGAGATAACACTGCATCAGACCATGGTGTCACTCAACACCTTGCTGATTTAGTGACCTTTATCATGACTGAAAGGTGTTCAACACCTTGCTGATTTAGTGACCTCTTTTATCATGACTGAAAGGTGTTCAGATGTAAGATATGCATCAGACCATGGTGTCACTCAACACCTTGCTGATTTAGTGACCTCTTTTATCATGACTGAAAGGTGTTCAGATGTAAGATATGCATCAGACCATGGTGTCACTCAACACCTTGCTGATTTAGTGACCTCTTTGATCATGACTGAAAGGTGTTCATATGTAAGATATGCATCAGACCATGGTGTCACTCAACACCTTGCTGATTTAGTAACCTCCTTTATCATGACTGAAAGGTGTTCAGATGTAAGATATGCATCAGACCATGGTGTTACTCAACACCTTGCTGATTTAGTAACCTCCTTTATCATGACTGAAAGGTGTTCAGATGTAAGATATGCATCAGACTGTGGTGTCACTCAACACCTTGTTGATTTAGTAACCTCCTTTATCATGACTGAAAGGTGTTCAGATGTAAGATATGCATCAGACCATGGTGTTCCTCAACACCTTGCTGATTTAGTAACCTCCTTTATCATGACTGAAAGGTGTTCAGATGTAAGATATGCATCAGACTGTGGTGTCACTCAACACCTTGCTGATTTAGTGACCGCTTTTATCATAACTGAAAGGTGTTCAGATGTAAGATATGCATCAAACTGTGGTGTCACTCAACACCTTTCTGATTTAGTGACCTCTTTGATCATGACTGAAAGGTGTTCATATGTAAGATATGCATCAGACCATGGTGTCACTCAACACCTTGCTGATTTAGTAACCTCCTTTATCATGACTGAAAGGTGTTCATATGTAAGATATGCATCAGACCATGGTGTTCCTCAACACCTTGCTGATTTAGTAACCTCCTTTATCATGACTGAAAGGTGTTCAGATGTAAGATATGCATCAGACTGTGGTGTCACTCAACACCTTGCTGATTTAGTAACCTCCTTTATCATGACTGAAAGGTGTTCAGATGTAAGATATGCATCTGACCATGGTGTTCCTCAACACCTTGCTGATTTAGTAACCTCCTTTGTCAAGACTGAAAGGTGCTCAGATGTAAGATATGCATCAGACTGTAGTGTCACTCAACACCTTGCTGATTTAGTGACCGCTTTTATCATAACTGAAAGGTGTTCAGATGTAAGATATGCATCAAACTGTAGTGTCACTCAACACCTTGCTGATTTAGTGACCTCTTTGATCATGACTGAAAGGTGCTCAGATGTAAGATATGCATCAGACCATGGTGTCACTCAACACCTTGCTGATTTAGTGACCTCTTTTATCATGACTGAAAGGTGTTCAGATGTAAGATATGCATCAGACCATGGTGTCCCTCAACACTTTGCTGATTTAGTAACCTTTTAATCATGACTGAAAGGTGTTCAGATGTAAGATATGCATCAGACCATGGTGTCACTCAACTCCTTGCTGATTTGGTTACCTCTTTGATCATGACTGAAAGGTATTCAGATGTAACATATGCATCAGACCATGGTGTCCCTCAACACCTTGCTGATTTAGTAACCTCTTTCATCATGACTGAAAGGTGTTCAGATGTAAGATATGCATCAGACCATGGTGTCACTCAACACCTTGTGGTTTAGTAACCTCTTTTATCATGACTGAAAGGTGTTCAGATGTAAGATATGCATCAGACTGTGGTGTCACTCAACACCTTGCTGATTTAGTAACCTCTTTTATCATAACTGAAAGGTGTTCAGATGTAAGATATGCATCAAACTGTGGTGTCACTCAACACCTTTCTGATTTAGTGACCTCTTTGATCATGACTGAAAGGTGTTCATATGTAAGATATGCATCAGACCATGGTGTCACTCAACACCTTGCTGATTTAGTAACCTCCTTTATCATGACTGAAAGGTGTTCATATGTAAGATATGCATCAGACCATGGTGTTCCTCAACACCTTGCTGATTAAGTAACCTCCTTTATCATGACTGAAAGGTGTTCAGATGTAAGATATGCAACAGACTGTGGTGTCACTCAACACCTTGCTGATTTAGTAACCTCCTTTATCATGACTGAAAGGTGTTCAGATGTAAGATATGCATCTGACCATGGTGTTCCTCAACACCTTGCTGATTTAGTGACCTCTTTTATCAAGACTGAAAGGTGCTCAGATGTAAGATATGCATCAGACTGTAGTGTCACTCAACACCTTGCTGATTTAGTGACCGCCTTTATCGTAACTGAAAGGTGTTCAGATGTAAGATATGCATCAAACTGTAGTGTCACTCAACACCTTGCTGATTTAGTGACCTCTTTGATCATGACTGAAAGGTGCTCAGATGTAAGATATGCATCAGACCATGGTGTCACTCAACACCTTGCTGATTTAGTGACCTCTTTTATCATGACTGAAAGGTGTTCAGATGTAAGATATGCATCAGACCATGGTGTCCCTCAACACTTTGCTGATTTAGTAACCTTTTAATCATGACTGAAAGGTGTTCAGATGTAAGATATGCATCAGACCATGGTGTCACTCAACTCCTTGCTGATTTGGTTACCTCTTTGATCATGACTGAAAGGTATTCAGATGTAACATATGCATCAGACCATGGTGTCCCTCAACACCTTGCTGATTTAGTAACCTCTTTCATCATGACTGAA